CCCTCGTGTGGTGATGTTTGTGTGGTGATGTTCCCTACCTCGTGTGGTGATGTACCCTACCCTCGTGTGGTGATGTACCTACCCTCGTGTGATGATGTTCCCTACCCTCGTGTGGTGATGTACCCTACCCTCGTGTGGTGATGTACTACCCTCGTGGTGATGCCCTACCCTCGTGTGGTGATGTACCCTACCTCGTGATGTACCCTACCCTCGTGTGGTGATGTACCCTACCCTCGTGTGGTGATGTTCCCTACCCTCGTGTGGTGATGTACCCTACCCTCGTGTGGTGATGTACCCTACCCTCGTGTGGTGATGTACCCTACCCTCGTGTGGTGATGTACCCTACCCTCGTGTGGTGATGTACCCTACCCTCGTGTGGTGATGTTCCCTACTGTGTGGTGATGTTCCTCCACCCTCGTGTGGTGATGTACCCTACCCTCGTGTGGTGATGTACCCTACCCCTCGTGTGGTGATGTACCCTACCCTCGTGTGGTGATGTACCCCACTACCCTCGTGTGGTGATGTACCCTACCCTCGTGTGGTGATGTACCCTACCCTCGTGTGGTGATGTACCCTACCCTCGTGTGGTGATGTACCTACCCTCGTGGTGATGTACCCTACCCTCGTGTGGTGATGTACTCCCACCGTGTGGTGATGTTCCCTACCCTCGTGTGGTGATGTTTACCTCGTGTGGTGATGTTCCCTACCCTCGTGTGGTGATGTACCCTACCCTCGTGTGGTGATGTACCTACCCTCGTGTGATGATGTTCCCTACCCTCGTGTGGTGATGTACCCTACCCTCGTGTGGTGATGTACCCTACCCTCGTGTGGTGATGTACCCTACCCTCGTGTGGTGATGTTCCCTACCCTTGTGTGATGACGTTCCCTTCCTTGTGTGATGACTGCTAAAAGAAAGACATCGAACAGGTCAATAGTCTTAAAAGAGAATCATCAACTTATGAGACTTTATCCACGAGGAAATGATAGCGTGTGGTGGAGGTACAGGTGTGGGCATCAACAGGTGGCTGGCAGTGGTGGTGGTGCAGCGGCCTTCAACAAGTGGGTGGGAGAGGAGAGGCTTAACTCCACTAACTAGTTTCCCTGGGAGTATTGGTCACATTTTTCCTAACTTAAAGTGTATTTCTTCTTCACAGGCGCAAACACTATATGATGAAGTAGTAGTAGTAGTAGTAGTAGTAGTAGTAGTAGTAGTAGTAGTAGTAGTAGTAACGTACAAAATAACACGAAAACTAAAAAAAAAACCTGACAACTGTACAAAATTATGACACCCCCATCAGTGACTGCCCCGGCACGACCCTAACGCCACTCTTAGCAACATTTTTATAGCCTTTGTGCAACCACTTATACCAATGACCAGTGACCCCATTGACCTACACCAGTGACCCCCATTGACCTTCCGGCACTGGGGAAAGACTGTCTTGGCTTTTCCATTTTATAACCTGAAGTCATATTATTAAGTCAGCCTAGAAATCGCTTAGTTCACCGTAAGATTAGGCACCACAGCTTAGTTCACCGTAAGATTAGGCACCACAGCTTAGTTCACCGTAAGATTAGGCACCACAGCTTAGTTCACCTTAATTGAAACCCCTAACACTACCATACTGAAGCCTTGAAACACCTAACACTACCATACTGAAGCCTTGAAACACCTAACACTACCATACTGAAGCCTTGAAGCACCTAACACTACCATACTGAAGCCTTGAAACACCTAACACTACCATACTGAAGCCTTGAAACACCTAACACTACCATACTGAAGCCTTGAAACACCTAACACTACCATACTGAAGCCTTGAAACACCTAACGCTACCATACTGAAGCCTTGAAACACCTAACACTACCATACTGAAGCCTTGAAACACCTAACACTACCATACTGAAGCCTTGAAACACCTAACACTACCATACTGAAGCCTCGAAACACCTAACACTACCATACTGAAGCCTTGAAACACCTAACACTACCATACTGAAGCCTCGAAACACCTAACACTATCATACTGAAGCCTCGAAACACCCAACACTACCGTACTGAAGCCTTGAAACACCTGAAACATTACCAATAATCAATTTACTACACCACTCCCTCTTTTACTGTACCAACGACCATTAAACTTACCCCCCCCCTCCCCAGAGTTCAATATACGTACTCAAGCCTAATAAAACTTTCAACACCAGGGCTTAGAACTTTCCAACGGCTATATGGAAAAAAAACAGAGCATTGCCATTTTATTTATAGGGGGTATTACACTGGATCACCTGAAGTTTAGTCCCCCTCAGAAATTCCAATGCTAACCTAACATAGCCCAATCTATTCTAAAACTAAAGTAACATCACCTAACCCAACCCATTCAGATAGCGTTTGGGTGTTTAATCGTCATGTGAAATAAACCGGGGTGGCTAAAAAAAAAAAAGAGACGATTCAAAAATTTCCACAAACATAAGTAAACACAGAATTTTAAATATATATTAAATAGCAAAGGCGCGGCACTAGTAACCTTTGTTTTCGTCAGTCAAAGAAGCAAACTTATTCATTCGGTTAAATGAACAAGGTTAAAGGTTCCCCGATATGAAAAACTAAACTAACCATGCGCGTAAAATAACCCGAGTAGTATTACCCAATCACACACTTGTTATTAAGCATCAAGCGTTACTACACCCCAACGTATGCAAGAGCCTGCCTGCCTGCCCCCCCCCCCTACACTTTCCACACCTGACAACAAAGCTATGGGGGGCGTATGGTTAATTTGTCAAGCCCTCAGGCCCCCAGTATGGTAATCTTTTCTCTACGTGGATAACTAAATACTGTAATGACGTTTTCCACACTAATCACCTTCAACGCCACAAACTAAAAATAGGTAACTTCACAAGCTGTTAACATGGTAATTTTTGGAGTTGTTAATATGGTATTTTTGAACTGTTAACATGGTATTTTTCGAGCTGTTAACATGGTATTTTTGAACTGATAACATGGTATTTTATAACTGTTAACATAGTACTTTTGGAGCTGTTAACAAGACATCTTGTGAGCAATCAACTTGGTAATGTCATTTACTGTTCAAGTGTTAATTCTTGGTATCGGTGAGACAGCTTTCTGGGACAAGCATTTAAGAGTGGGGCTGCACTTGTCTCCAGCAGTCTGATAAAACTTACACCACCACACAAAACCAACCAGAAATAACTTACTTCAATAGCTATTAACATGGCACAAGATAACTAACTTCAATAGCTATTATCATGACACAAGATAACTAACTTCAATAGCTATTATCATGGCACTAGATAACTTACTTCAATAGCTATTAACATGACACGAGATAACTTACTTCAATAGCTATTATCATGGCACTAGATAACTTACTTCAATAGCTATTAACATGACACGAGATAACTAACTTCAACAGCTATTAACATGACACGAGGTAAGTACATTAACTGATTCAGTGGGGATAATTTACTTCACTTAACTCTGAAGTTGGGTTTCACTTGTACAGTATATTACCTAAAAAAAATATAAAAAAAATGTTGATATGTATAACTTCAACGAGCTGTTACCATGTTTGCTTTTCTTGTCATTTAGAACTAACAAGAAATGTTAACCGCTTAGTATCATCGACTTGAGAAACGAACACTCGAGGCAGAGGAGACATTTAAGCCAGATGATAAAAGTATTTTGGGTACGTTTAAAAAACCTCCAAGTTTAATAAAAAAAAAAGTTAGGTTAGATCGGCTTCAACTCCAGCACCTGATAAAAACCTCTTAGTACAACTATTATTCAAAACCTTTGCTCTGAGCTGTATCATCTGAGATAACAGTCTGCTATCGTCAGATTACAGACTAGCGTGAGATGACAATCCGCCGGGGGTTACAGTAAACACTACAAGAGGTTACAGCCGGTACATTAAATCTATTCGTCCGAAGTGATAACCTGCTGTTTTGTTGTCATTTTCCTTCAAACTATTTCACACATCAAGCTGTATCGTGAAGCTGCTGACGTTATCTTGTTACAGTCAGTGTGGCCATAAGCTACAGTACGTTCATACTACAATTGGTATCTCTAGATTACCATACCACATCTCATCACAAGTTACAGTCAGTATCATCTAATATTACAGGTATGACTGCATTACCAACAGCAAAAAGTCATACAGCATGTTATCCTAAATTACAGCTGTATCATTAACTCAAAAAGGCAGTACAGTAGTTATATATAATACCCAATAACAATCCACAACAATGTTAAAGGTTAAACACACTAAACACATTACGTATAATAATAATAAGGGTTAACACAAAACCTGCACTACTTAATAACAAGTGGACAAGACTTGGTAATATCACCTCTAGCTGAACATTTATATAACCAGCTCTAATTCATGAAGGCTGTCACATTCACAGATACTAGCAGGCGATGAATATTAATTGTTATTTTCGATAGAATACGGATTACAGTAAATAAATACATATTAACTAACAATGATAAAAATCACTTATCACAAGACAAAGTTAATATTGATAATGTTTTGGAAAAGATTCTCCATATTATATTTGCGTTACTATTTTTTTTTTACCTTAAGTCAGTCATATTAATTCTCATGCCTTCACTTACGAGGATTATCAAACGTAGGTGAATTTGTACCCAGCTTTTAAATACCCTTATAAAAAACTAGATCAGTGACCCAAATTATACAGTTCCGTATAACAAACACTTCACTACTTACAATTATCAACTACTATAATCTACGTAAACTGGTCATAAGCACATGTTGGTTTCGGCGTGTTTACAACTTCAAAGGCCTCGTTAAAACGGTGTCCTGCAACCGGGAAATTCTTAAAATGTCAAGGGAAATACCACCAAAGACATCGGGACTAAGACGGACACAAAAAATATTAATGGTGGTTAAGGATTTTTACGAAGTACTGTCAAGTAAATAATGAAGTTAAATTATTGGTATACTCAATAGTTGGTACTCACCTCACACTACCACCTCCACATGAACACTTCTCGCTGATATTTCACAAGAAAAACAGAGTTCTTTCAATATTCTTGCTCAAATTGGACTTGTCAGTAGTAAAACACGTCCATAAAACGACTCGACCCGAAGATGTCACTGATATTAGACTTGATAAAAACGTCACGTCAATATATACAAAAAAAATAAAAACTGGGAGAGCGTTCACTCACTCTGTTCACTTCGCTGGTCGCGGCCAAACTACTTCGACAACGACGAGTCGACGGGCTCGACCACTCGCCTGACTCGCCGCGACGTGAGCTTTGTGACGTCGTCCTGGGTATTGCCACCTAACTTCTCTCCTTCTATTTACATTTAATCGCGAGATGTGCTCGTAATTAAATTTAAAAAACACCACAACGCGTCTATTCTAGGAAAAACTAACAAGCTTTAAAAAGAAAATCATACGTTTACTGCGGCATTTTGGGAAATGGTTTCAAAGCCAATGACTTTACAGGTTATGGATTAGTTATCGTACAGCATCAGGTTACAAAAATACGGAATTTTTCAACAGAACCAAAACAATTTAATGCTTTTATATAAAGCAGGAAAAATATTTATAAAATACTAATTACAATACATACTTATATTTTTCCCCAGTTAATGCTATTATAAAACTCAATTGCTTAATTTAATCCATAAATTCGTGCGCTTGGCAGCCAGGAGTTAGTTGTGGGTACCCGTCTCAACAAATCGCAGGAAATGACCGAATATCGAGTGAGGTGTTGACCGTAGGGACACAACTTACTAAAAATTAGACTTCTTGCTACTTTCCTGACACACACTACGAGAAGAATGCAGCGTAGTAGCAGACACACCTTGGCAAAACGGCCACCCCCAACCGCTGTGTAACACTACAGAAGAGGAATATTTGAACAAACAAAACTTGACGATGGTCGAATTTTGAAACCAGACGTTAGTGAGGAAAACAGAAGACGGTGGGGCCCGGTCTGGTCACCTGGTCCTGGGCGCTCCAAGCTGGCGAGTTCAATTTTCCCCACAAACGAAGTCAAGAAAATATACCTAATAAATAATATAATTTAAAACACACAGATAACACCTAACCTAAATATTTAACTAAGGTTGTGTCGGGGTTATCGAGTACATATTTACATCAATAGTGAGGAGGAAAACTTATAAAACAGCCTTTGGAATGAACCGAACCTTTGTACATATCACATGCAGATTAGACACCCCAGTCTATTTGACCTGATGAATAAAACACCGTAATGCTAATCTAATAAACTTAACCTAATCTCTCCTGGTAACGTTATGGTGTTTAATCAAGTGAAATAATCTCGGGATTCTAGGGTGTCTAATCTTCACGTGATCCTTTGTAATATATTCAACCTGACAAACTGTATGTCTGAGTACATTGTTTGCATACCTATACTGTCTACGTGCCGTACCTTATATACCTGCTTTGTCAACATACATCCTGACCCAATGTAAACTTGTATGACGATTATAGTGAGTATTTATCCTGTCTGACAATCAATGTATTATGCGGTTCAGTTCTGGTGCCCTTATTATAGAATGGATATAAATTCACTAGAGTCGGTGCAGTGAAGAATGACAAAAATGATTCTGGGACTTAGAAACCTTCCATATCAGGATAGGTTAAAGAAACTTAACTTGCATTCCCTAGAAAGACGAAGAGTGCGGGGAGATATGATAGAAGTATTTAAGTGGGTGAAAGGAATCAATAAAGGGGATATATATAAAGTTTTTATAATATCCGAGCAGGATAGGACTCGGAGCAACGGATTCAAGTTGGATAAGTTTAGGTTTAGGAGGGAGATAGGAAGGAATTGGTTCACAAATAGGGTGGTGGAGGAGTGGAACAAGCTTAGCAACTTTGTAGTAAGTGCGGGAACTCTGGAAAGTTTCAAAAGGAGGCTAGATAGATTCATGGATGATAGAGAGTGGTAGTAACTCTCGACAGGAGCTGCCATGCACAGGTCAACCGGCCTATTGCAGACTCCTTATTTTCTTATGTTTCTTATGTATGTAACTATATATCAATCTATGTATGTATGTATGTAAATATCTATAAATCTATGTATGTACGTATGTGTGTATGTATGTATCAATTACTTTATTCATCTACTACAATACAGCATCGTAGAGTTTTGAAACAGTCCGCAGTACAGTGAATCAGTGGACGGCGGGCAAAGGGCTGGACTCACCCACGCTTACATTCAATATTTTTCTCTAACTGAAGCTTTCTATCTACGTGCTGTTTGGCTAACTCACTCAGGTTAGGTTAGGTTATATTATAGATTATGTTAGGTTTGTGTTAAATTAGGTTTGGTTAGGTTAGGTTAAATTAGCGTTAGGTTACATTATAGTGTTAGGTTTGTGGTAGGTTAGGTTCGGTTATATTAGCGTTAGGTTAGAATAGGTTACGTAATGTTAAATTAGCGTCAGGTTACATTATGTTAGGTTATATTTGCGTTAGATTATGTTATGTTAGGTTTACGTTAGATTAGGTTAGATTTACGTCAGGTTGTTTTAATCATCAGGCAAAAATAAACTGGGGTGTGTAATCTTCAGGTGATCCGACGCGTCCAAGGTGAGGGAGTGTCTGTCTGCCCTGTGATGTGGCCCAGAGAGGTGACCCGGTGATTGTCCTCTCCTCCAAGCCCACCTCACTTCTCCACCTCTTCTGCTTCTCCCACCTACCCTGCCCTCTCCCCCTCTTCCTCCTCCATTCTCTCTCCCTCCTCATCCTCCTTCTCTCTATCTATTTCTTTTATCGGTGAGTGTCTGCAAGCATGTTATTGTCACCTCTCTCTCTCTCTCTCTATTGTATTCTCTCTCTCTCCCTTCTCTTTATCTCTTTCTCTCACCCTCTCTCTCTCTCTATCTCTCCCTTCCCTCTCTCACTATCTCTACCTCCCCCTCTCTCTATCTCTTCCTCTTTCTATCTCTTTCACCCTCTTATTCTCTCACCCTTTCATTCAATCTCTCTTATCCTCTCTCCCTCTCTCTCTCTCTCTCACCACCGGAAACCAGAGTGACTCAGCAAGATCATCCACCGGTTATAAGCGACCCTCAAAAGTTTTGATGATCAGGTACAAAACACCTTTGCACCTGAACTTGGCTGACTGGAGGAAGCTTTAACTGACTGGAGGAAGCTTTAACTGACTGGAGGAAGCTTTAACTGATTGGAGGAAGCTTTAACTCACTGGAGGAAGCTTTGACTGACTGTACGAAGCTTTGACTGACTGTACGAAGCTTTGACTGACTGTACGAAGCTTTGACTGACTGGAGGAAGCTTTAACTGACTGGAGGAAGCTTTAACTGATTGGAGGAAGCTTTAACTCACTGGAGGAAGCTTTGACTGACTGTACGAAGCTTTGACTGACTGTACGAAGCTTTGACTGACTGTACTAAGCTTTAAATGACTGTACGAAGCTTTAACTGACTGGACGGAGCTTTAACTAACTGTACGAAATTAGAGTGAGTTATATTATGATAGGTTAATTTAGGTGAGGTGAGGTTAATTTTCAGGTGAAATAAGCTGTGGGGGGGTGGGGGGGGTGAACCCTAAGGAGACCCCCTCTATCTTAACCCCAAACCTTATCCGGGACATAACAAAACCTACCTCACCTGGTGGTCGGTCACGCATGTTCACCAGTTCACCTTCGGGAGACACCTGAGTAAACACTTCTGCAGATCAAGATGTCATGCCCAAACACGAAGGGTACTGAGGATCACCTGAAGATTAGACACCCCAGCTTATTTTACCTGATGGGGGATTAACCTAACCTATCAACAAAACAAACCTAACTATCTTAACTCTAACCTAATCAAACCACTATAATTCTAGCCTAATCTAACCAAACCAAACCTAACCTAACTTAACCTGAGCTCGTGTGGGACAACCATTGCTGTACAAGAAGTATGAAGTTGGGGGTTAACTCCTGGTAGGGTTAAATCTGTGACCTGACTCCTCTCTCTCTCTTTCTCTCTCGTATAGTTTATTATGTGACATAAACGGTGATTTTTGTGCATTATTAGTATTATTATTATTATTATTATTATTATTATTATCATTAATATTATTATTATTATAAAACTTTACGTATTATTATTATTCTCCTCACCTTTAGTCTTATCACACACACACACTTGACCTCCTCAAACCTATCATTAACCCCGGGGACACTGTGAGGGCAATAGATAAACTAAGACAAGAGCCCTTAGCTTGACCGTGTGGTGTACGCCAGCTACCACACACACACACACACACACACACACACACACATACACACACACACACACACACACACATACACACACACACACACACACACGTCATGCCCCCGTCTGTTCTCAAGGATGTCAGGCTCTGGTATTAATTTACTGTATCTGGTTAATACAGAAATAAAGTACAGGTACAGTCAAAGATACAGGTACACACATATAGAAATACATAGACATAAATACAAATACAGGTAGGAGTTTAGGTACAGGTAAAATAACAATTACAAGTATAAGTTTATGCACAAGTAATAACATCCATACAGTTATTAGTACAGTTACAAACACAAATACAGGTATAAGTACAGGTGCGAGTACAGGTATAGAGATGCTACACCTGATGAAAACAAGATAGAAAGTTCCGGGAGAAAGTGACACCAGAGAGAGAGAGACAGAGATGTAAAGAAAGAGATGAGAGACACAGAAAGACACAGAGAAAGAGAAGAAGAGAGAGAGAGAGATAAAGAGAACGAGAGAGAAAAAGTGAGAAAGAGAGGGAGAGACTTGTAAACCAACAGCATGAATTACCGAGGCCACCAAGCAGGTTACAGACGAGATAAGGAAATTTACAGTTATGATGAACAGGATACACGCAGTTACAAACATTTCTAGACAGGATGCAGGCATGATATATAGAAATAGACAGGATACAGTCATGACACAGAAAGAGACAGGATACAGCCATGATACATAGAAATAGACAGGATACAGACATAACCCATAGAAGAGTACAGGATACAGGCACTTCGCAGACAGTCACAGGTATTTCTAGACGTGGTACAGGAAACTACAAACAAATAATGTAAACCGTAAACCCTTATTGTCATTACGAGATTATTTTGATCTAATATTTCTTAGATGACCGTCTTTATGATTCAGTATTGGCGGTATTTATGAATATATTTTTAATTACAAGAAGAACAACAACACACCAATAATAATAATAATAATAATAATAATAATAA